CAGGAACATCTAAGGGGAACATCCGGATAACATCTGTGCAGCCCCCGAGAGAGCCGGCCGGCGGTGTGCCGCTCCCCCGCGGAAGTGGGGAAAGTGGCAGGGGGAACCGCCCTTCCACGGAGGTGGAAGGATCGGCAGCCAACCCGGGAAGAACCAGCAGCAAACCCGGGAAGGGCCGAGCAGACCAAAGAACAGCGCAGGGTCCTGTGTCGTTCCTCCGTGAAGAGGGGGAGCGACACTAGTCACTGCTGTGCCTTGGTAGTAGAGCAGTTAAAGGGGTGACTGATAGAAAGGTTTTGTATTTGAATTTAAATCTCAAAAACACAGCTTAATAATCCTTATCAAAATGACTTTCTTTACTGATTGGCCAGTGACTGTTACGTCATTGTTTCTTCTGAGTGAAAAATCTGGATTTTAGCTCCAGGAAAACCTGGGAAACTCGTTAGATTCAGATTCCTACCCACCGTCCCACAATCTCTGATGTTTTTTCCCCGTTTCTTCAAGCTCCCCAGGAGACTCTGTGTGTGCTAACGTTAGAGAGCCTCGCTGCTGTGTTATCCACATTGCAGCTGAGTCAGCACTGGGTAAGTCCTCTTCAGTTTGTCCGTAAAATGATCTCAGTCTTCTAGGCCATGGAGGCCTTGGTACTTCCTCCTGATTCTTTAGGATTCATTCACAAAGGGCAGTTTCTACTGTCTTTGTAATTTTCAAAGTCCAAGAAATTTCTAAAAAGCAAAATGAAAATTATAATTGGGTAATTAAAAAAATGAACTTGACATTAGATTTTTCAAATAATAGGTTAGCATTTTATTTTTCTATTCTTGCCACTCAAAATTCATAGGGTGTGAAAAGATAATAGAATATAATCAAAATAGTGTACAAACAAAATTCAAAAACATTTAACCATCTATTCTAGCTGTTCTTTGTAAAATACACAACAGTAAACAGAAACATCTTTATATAAATTATGCTTAACAATCTGTATACACTGTAAAATAATTATTAAGATCACACGAAGGTCCTAGTGCAAGCAGCGGTATATGAAAGTGCAAACACAGTGAGTGATGAACCACTTAGCGCCAACTTCTCACTCCAGCAAAGTCTGCTTCCATCCAAACACGGAAGGCCTCGCCACGGAAACCACAGTTCTCACTTGAAAGCAGTGTGACCGCGTTCACCCTGAGTGCTCTTGCCTCAGTGGGGCAGTGGGTTTTGAGCACCCATGTGATGTGGGCCATTCCAACGTCAATCTTTATACTTGTTAATGAAAACAATTCCAAAAAACCTCTGTATGTCAAAAACCTGTTGTCAACCTTTTATTCTCAAGTATTTTAAACTAAAAACACTCCCCCATAAAGATACATACTCCTGAGGAAGAATCCAACCATTCTAGCACAGGGTTTCCAAAAACAATTCTGCAGGAAATTCCACTTCTGCCTTCAGATCTCTTTGGGGCAGGGGCACTCCTGAAACAGAATTTGCTTTGGATAACTTCTGCTTTCATCACCTTGGATCCCACTGAACAGTGTGGTCAGAGTCCTGAACAGTCAGTCAGTGACATGAAATTCACTGGCTACTAAATGCTCTGAATTAGGAGATCAGATATCAGCTGGCTCAGAACTCCATCTTCAAAGACTGCGGATTCCCTTCAGCTCAGAGATGTTTTAAATCCAAGTGCAGGGGCTGGCATCGTGGCTTGGCAGGTGGGTCCGCCGCCCACAGTGCCAGCATCCTGTGTGGACGCCGGTTCGAGTCCCGGCTGCTCCATTTCCGATCCAGCTCTCTGCTATGGCTTGGGAGAGCAGTGAGGATAGCCCAAGTCCTTGGGCCCCTGCACTTGCATGGGAGACCTGGAGGAAGCTCCCGGCTTCACATCGGCGCAGCTCTGGCCATTGCGGCCAATTGGGGAGTGAACCAGCGGATGGAAGACCTCTCTCTCTCTCTCTCTCTGCTTCTCCTTCTCTCTCTGTGTAGCTCTGACTTCCATATTGATAAATAGATCTTAAAAAAAAAAAAAAATCCAAGTGCAGGGTGTGAGGAAAGGGTACAGGGATGAGAAGTGGAAATGTGGTTTTAACAAAACCTCAGTCACTTTACACAGAGCACAATTACATATCCCAGGAACTTGTTCTTTCTTTTTTTGGATTAAAAACACTAGCTTGAATTTCAATAAGAGAAGCACAGTAATGGAAATGACAAGAATATCAACATGTGGTTTTGATAACTCAGTCCTTAAAGCACACTGCAAAACCTCTGGTTTTCATATGAATGCAGGCTATCTCTGATTTCCTATTAATTTTCCATTAAGGAATTTCTATTTGCTAATTTTTTCATGCTTTCTTGAAGATTTTTTGAGACTTCACCAAGTTACACATGTTTAAAATGATCTAAACAAGCACTCCAAATAAACAGAAGGAACCCTGACAGATTTCCCTTTCTATAAGCTAATCTCAGTACTGGGGTCAAATTTTACTTGGCAATAAATTGTTGCAAACCTCAGTCATGTAAGTGATTAACAAGACTGAGTCAAGTACCAGTTTCAGAAAACATAAACTTTGCCCTTGAAATTCTCAAAGTGCATTAACTAGAAGTATACTGTTTTTAATGAGATGAACTTGTGAAAATGTTGGGTTTTCAATGTGGTTAATGAAATCATTTCCCAGAAGGCAAGAAACACTGTTACAGCTATCACCCTATGTCAATGATTGACAGGCAGTTCATATGCTGGAAATTGTACTAGTACAGAGATGTATGAGTCAGTGGGAAACTCGGGAAAAGAAACAATGTTCTACTTTTCTGCTGTAAGTCACAGTAAATGTGTATGTGGGTGCAGGTATACAAAACTAAAATTTAGATCTATGCAGGCAGTATCTGAATTTATGGATCTTTGGCACTTACAAACAGAGTGGTTCAACTTAGCCAAGGAAGGAGTATTTTTTAACACACTTTAGGAAATGTCTGTTCCCCAATTTAAAAATGCTATAATCTCCATTCTAACTGTATACTGAGATAAACTGGAATTGGTCAGTTTAACTACATATGATCCAAAAGCATCATCAACAGCAGGCATTGCAACAGGTGAGGGGTAAACATCTCTTTAAAAATAGAAAAGAGGGATGAACCTTTCAATTTTTAGAGTTTTGGACTTCAACATCTTTTGAACAGTGCATGATCTGTATGGAATTCCAGTGTTAACCACAGTGCAGCAGCCGACAGTGCAGGGACAAACTAACACCCTCAGCGCCGACTTCTTCATGGGAGACACCCCACTGGGGCACAGGCAGGACTGCGCTTCCTGTTTCCTGCCTTTCTCTCAGTTTGCTCCTCTTGAAGGGGAGCAGTACCCCAGTTATGCTGTGGGGGTTCTCGGCTGCATGTGAGCCTAGCTAAGTCCTGTACCTGGGAACCCTGGTGCAGCTCCTTTCTAGAGGCTCCGGCCATCAGACTCCCTGGCTGGGGAAATTCCCACCCATTAGCTGTGGTCTACAGAATGACTTCATCTGTCCCTCTGATTCCAGAGTCAGCATGGGAATGAGGGTCTTGGGTGAGAAGTGCGTACCAGAAAGCATTTTCCCCGTTGGAGAAACCAGGAAGCGCTCTCCTTTATACCAATTTATGCCACAAATAACCTGCATAATCGAGTGGATACGCTGGGAAATACTTACAGACGGGCATGTTCCTGAAGGTACGCATGAGAGGCTGTTGTGTTAACAAGGCTTAATGGAGTCAGGACTTGAGGAGTACTGTAAACCCATGCGCTGAAAGAAACCAACAGGCTGCCATGTCATCTGGCCTCAGAGCTACTGATATTTCTAGGCAGAGAAAAACTTCTGTTTTCATTTCGGAAGGAGCTCAAAGTGAACCAAAATAGCTGTATTACTAAAACCAACAGCCTCCTAAGAAACAACCTCGTCAGCACAGCTAACTAGTGGTTCCATCCAGTCAAGTCCTCAGGCCTTGTCTGCTTCCCAGGTTCCATTTTCCATGACAGAATGGACTACCAGTAACTGTGACTTGGGACAATGGCTACAGGAAAAATTAATTTTGATATTAGAATTATTTCTGATGAAATTAGAACAATCTTTTCTCCATGGAATTGGTTAAATATACCATGAAAACTTGATGCAGAAATCTTAAACTTGAGAGTCTTTAAAAATACATTTTTTTGGCACTTTTTATCTTACTCATGGAATCACAGGCATATGAAGCAAAGAACTAAATTTCTCAGGAAATGATAATGCTGTTAAAAAATCAAAGTTCTCTCAGTAGTAGGCCAGGTGTGAGGCTGGAGACAATATCACACGGCAAGTATTTTATCCAAACAAGTCTTTGTGCTATGAAGAGCTAAGAGCTAGCTGAGAGCCACTCAAAAAAGTGAAAACTGGAAATAAGCATTCATTTTCTGGCTACCATGACATAAAATGTCAAAGAAAGCCCGAGAGCTAGGGGACAGGAGTGAACTCCCCACGTCTGCGTGATGTTGAAGCAGAACCAGCGGTCTCTTCTCAGGCGTGCTGGCCCCCACAGCCAAACTGTGCCCCGCACCCTGCTCGCGGCTTGCCCTGGGGAGGACCTGCGAGTGTGCAGACTCGGGCCGACACTGCTTCTGCTGAAGAAGCACAGGAGACTGAACTGGACGCCCATTAGGACTGGAACACTTCAGGGCTGGCAGCTGGGATGGAGGCAGGGCCTACCACACTGACAGTTATCGCTGTGTACCAGGGAGGTCCTTTTCTTCATAAGCCGATCCCAAAGGGACCAGGACAAGACTCCATCACCACTGATGATGGTGACATCACTGATCCAGAGATAAACACAGTATCAGACACAACCCACTACCACACTCATGGTAAATGCAAAAGCCTCTGGGATCTTAAACTTTATTCTAAATAATCTGAAAGAATCTCCTAACAACCCTACAGATATATCATCTCAAATACTCACATTTTCAGAGTGCACTCTAGATTAGACACATTCAAATGAAACATTTGCCCAACAAGGAAGCCAAACATTAGAGTTTGTTTTATTGCATGACGTTTGCATAAGAAAAACTATTATTGAAAACTGTAAGGCATCATGCAATCACTGATAAGCTAATTATTAACTGTACACATAAGAGAGGTGGACATATAATCTAAAATTTAAAAACTAGTTCCAAAAAAGTACATAAAAAATTTAACATGATGAGCCTTTAAATATGTATCTGTAGTTTCACGTTGTTAGAAAGTGCTTCAAATGTACTGCTGGAAAGACGTTCTTTATAAATGGTGCTGGGGTGATGTCAGATTATAAACTGTAAAAATTAATTATTTTCATGGAATTAGAAAGCTAATGTGATATTCAAACTTACTGCTGAATCAGTTTTCAATTCTCACTCAAATTAAGTTGATAGATTAATAAGCTACAAAACATCTGCTTTATAACCAACAAAAGTCTTGAATTCAAGTTATGCACGTTGAGTGATCAGATCTCTGGGAGCCTGACTGTGAGGCCCGGAAGCAGTGCAGGCTGGTGTTAATCAATGTACTGCGCCATCCAGCGGAAGCCTTCTCCGTACCCTTGCCTTTTGAGCACACTGCACATGAAGACTTCTAAAGGGCGAGCATTCAGTTCTTTGAGAGACACGTTCCCCTAGGAGAGAACACGGACACTCAGTTCCACGCCCGCAGAATCACAGGTGCTACGTTAGAACACTGGGGACTGGGGAAGGCTATGGTTGCTTGACCTCCACGTTCCCACAACACACAGAAAGCTGCCTCCCCTCACAACACCTTGGGGCAGAATGGCCCTTCAGTGGGAAAGAGAGGAGCCTGTAAGGCACGCAGAATAAAAGTAACATGACTTAGAAAAAAAATCCAAACTGGCCCCACTGATCTTAAAGACAAACTCTCTCTGAGCAAGTTTAGGACCAAATAAAGCACTTTCTCAAATGAATCTGGAGCTGACTTATTAAAAAGAAGACCAAGAGAACAGCTCTACCCTGAAGAACGATATGCAAACCAAGGAAATGTTACCTATAAACTGAGGTTTTCCCATGGTTTACTTGGGATTTTTGAAAACTAATGCTAATACTAATACAAAGCCTAGTACACACGCACAAAAATAATGTATCCTAAAGCTTGTTATAAAGTATATGTTCAGAAAACTCTAAAACACTCCTGTTCTTAGGTCTTAAGTTTCTCTGGTCAACTTGGACCTAAACACACTATGGTATGTTTAAATACTCAAATATAGTATTTGGTGGCTAACTTTTTTCCTTCAATATTTATTTACTGCATTATTTGAAAGGCACAGTTACTGGGGGGAGAATGGGAGGTAGAGATCTTCCACTCTTCAGATCGTTCCCCAAATGGCCACAGTAGCCAGGGCTGAGGCGGGCTGAAGCCGGAAGCTTGGAATTTCATCCAGGTCTCTCATGTGGTGGGGCGGGGCCCAAACACTTGGGCCATCTGCTGCTTTCCCATGCAGATTAGCAAGGAGCTAGATCAGAAGTAGAGCAACTGAGACTTGAACTGGTGCTCCTATGGGATACTGGTGTGGAACACAGTGGCTTAACCTGCTGGAGCCCAACACCAGCCTCTTGGTGGCCAATTCTGGTAATTTATGGTATGGAAAGCTTTCATTTCACTTCCTAAAACGTACAAGCCTTAAGCAAAACGGGCCCTGGTATTTTTGTCATCACCAAGAAAAGGTTTTGTTGAGGGGCCTGCACTGTGGCACAGTGGGTTACCACCCTGGCCTGAAGCGCCGGCATCCCACATGGGTGCTAGTTCTAGTCCCGGCTGCTCCTCTTCTGATCAAGCTCTCTCCTATAGCCTGGGAAAGCAGTGGAGGATGTCCCAAGTCCTTGGGCCCCTGCACCCACGTGGGAGACCCGGAGGAAGCTCCTGGCTCCTGGCTCCTGGCTCCTGGCTTCGGATTGGCTCAGCTCCAGCCGTTGCAGCCGACTGGGGAGTGAACCATCAGATGGAAGACCTCTCTCTGTCTCTCCTCTCTCTGTGTAACTCTGACTTTCAAATAAATAAATAAATAAATATTTTAAAAGAAAAAAAAAGATAATGAGCTTTATGAGGCTGGACAGTTGTAATTTAAGAAGACATATGTACTGCAGAATCAAACTTGCTGGATTTTTTTTTTTTTTTTTTACCTTTCCAGTTGTGTGGCCATATAAACCAAACATCTCTCGTAACCTCTCTTCACTAATAGCTTCAGGTCTGTCGATCTTATTCCCAAGAATCAATATAGGCACATTAGCAATGGTTTCATCTGTCATTAGTGACTGAAAGAAACAATACAAACAATAAGAAACTGACATGAAAATATCTAAAAAGCCTATTTTGATGAGACACCATAATAGTCAACACAATAGTTCATTCTAGACCTGATCATGGAATGCCAACTCCCTATGGCAAACTCTGCCTACATCCTAATGTGCTTGATTAAACCATTACCACAACTCTGTTGCCTTCCTGGGGCTCCCGTAAAAGCTTACCCTGTTCACTACGTAAATCAGTGAGATCGAGCAGCAAGACCAGCACCCTGGAGGCAGACAGACCTGGTTTTGTTTCTGGTTCTGCTTCCAAGGTGTGACCTTGGGCAAGTTAACCTCATGGAAGCTCCGAGAACTGGGAACAGAAGCATTAAGTAATATGCAGTGTTTGGCATTCCCTGACCCTGTTTCATGGCCACAGAGCCTACTGGGACTTTGCCACATGAATAAACATTAGTTTGCCTGCTTTGACAGCGGAACAGATCACGGACTGGATTACTCTGTTGCCTCAGAACTGGAACCGGCCTTGCCTGTTTCTCCCAAGCCCTCTGGAGAAGGGAGAGGAGGTAACTACACAGGCCCCTGCTCACTCCTGGGAGTGGTGATAAAGACAGTATGTTGTACCAGTTCCAGGTTCTGGCCAACTCCTAAAGAAATGGCTTCTAGGAAACTAGGAACATAAGACCAGCCCACTCAAGGAATGCAGCAGACAGGAATATACCAGAAGATCATGCTTTGTGCAGGGCGTGCTCAAGGCTTCAGGAAGGGTGTCTAAATACTTTGTCAATAGCTACAATTACTCCGATTTACTGCTTCTGTCCTCTTTGAGAAACCACTACTTAAAGCAATCACTGAACTTAGCTAATGGTCAGGAATTTCATAAGGGACAGCAAAAAAGTTGTATTCTGATACCTGTATCTCCAACCTATTTCTTTAGGTTTACCAGAATGATTTTTAAAATATGATTAATTTTAATTACTTACATCAAGTTCTTCTTTTGATTCTAACAGCCTCTCATGGTCTGCACAGTCCACCAGAAATACAATGCCATTGATAGCAGGAAGGTAGTTTTTCCACACTCTTCGAGCTAACAAAAGCAACCAGAGTTAGATATTATTTGCTGGTCAAACCCAGCAAATGGATTGCTGGAAGAGTCCAACAAGACAGCAAGTGAAGTTACTGCTTAGTTGCTTCTACTTCACTGTACAGCCAGGTAAATCTTTTCCCCAATAGTGCCAAAAACTTTCTATCAACCCAAAGAAATTTCAGGCTTTCCTTTATTGTAGGCAACTTAAATACTTTATTTTCTCTCCGTTTTCCCATGTGAAAACAGAATTGATATTTGCTTTCATAGGTCAAGGACACATGTTAAGTTCATTAGATAAATTACATAAATGTAACATATGAGCAGAAAGCTATTTTATAAACATACACAAAATTCATTTTTTGACACTGCCTGTTTATCAAGCTTTTTTGCCAAGGATAAATCTGAAGCTAGGACTAGGTACTAGCCTGTTAAGCTAAAATAATAAAAGCAAACCATTCTGTTCACAACAGAAAACAAGCTTAAGTGTTAATACATAATTAAAGTCTGTGAAACTGTAAGAGTGATTTTTCCAGGAGTCTTTCTGAGAGGACAGAAGCGCTTTTGGGGTACACCAGAATACTCTACTCTAACTTGAGTTTTCTGACATACCTCAAAAACGACACAAAACTGAAGTTTTAGACAAACTCCATTAGATTTCAGCTCACTCTAGTCATATTCCAGAAGTAAATATCCATGAATTATGACTTAGTGTGTTCCGACAATGCCAAATACTTAATGGTCTGGTCTGGTTGTAGTACAGAGAGCAGGAAGGAGAACAGCAGGAAACAAAGACCAGAAAAACAAAGTGGGCTTAGATCTCAAAGATCTTGGGTGCCAGGTCAATGAGTTTGGCTTGCATTTTCTAAGTAATGAGTTGGTTAATGAAGCCTTACAAAGTGGTAACATGTTCATAACCTGACTGTGATGGCAGGTGAAAGGCAGACTGAAGGGGAGACAGAATGGAAGCTAAATTGTACTCATACTTTATCACGCTAGGCAATTCTGACTTACATTGACCAAGAGTTATCAAGTTAGTTTTGTTTTTTCTTTACAAATTCTAATTTATTTTCATTTTATTGGAAAGTCAGACAGAAACAGACAAACATCTTCCATCCTCTGATTCACTCCCCAAATGCCCACAATATCCAGGGCTGGGCCACAGTGAAGCCAGGAGCCCAGAACTCAACCCAGCTCTCCCAGGTGAGTGGCGGGAACCCAAGTACTTGAGCCATGACCTGCCACCTACCATCCCAAACAGCATCTTCACTGCTGTGCCAAAAGCAGTTCCTCATTCCTTGTTTCCAAAGCATTTACCTAAGGACCGTAATTCTTAAATTGTAAGCCTACTCTGGCCTTGCTTGAACAGAATGAGATTTTATGGACTAGAATATAATGGTTCCATTTAAATTTTTTAAAATTTTTACTTTTTTTTTAATTTTTAGATTTTATTTATTTCAGAGGCAGAGTTATAGAGAGGAAGAGACAGAGAAAGGTCTTCCTTCTGCTGGTTCACTCCCCAGATGGCTGTAACGGCTGTAGCTGGGCCAATCTGAAGCCAGGAGCTTCCTCCAGGTCTCCCACACTGGTACAGGGGCCAAAGGACTTGGGCCACTTGCACTGCATTTCTAGTCCATAAGCAGAGGACCGGATTGGAAGAGGAGCAGCCGAGACTTGAACCGGTGTCTACATGGGATGCTGGCGCCACGGGCAGAGGCTTAGCCTACTACACCACAGCGCCAGCCCCTCCATTTTTTTTTTAATTAAGTTAAAATAAACAAAGCAAATATAATAATAATAATAGAATCTTACCTTGAACATGTCCACCCAGGTCAAAAGTTGTAAAAGTCATGCCAGCAATGGTGAGTTCTTCTGAAGCTAAATAACAATACAAAATATTTTCACAACATGAAACACATTAACCTATCCATGGCATGTATTATTACTTAATGTTTGATTCTCTTTAACTGCAAATAAAATCAAACTGGACACTTAGGAATTGACAAAAGAGTCCTTAGATATATGCCAATTCAAATTAACAATATAATACAAATGACTGTCATAATCAATTTTGTTCTTTACTACAAATAAAGTACTTATCTATTTTCCCTTCTCTGTTCTTTCTACTGAAAATATTAGTCGCAGTTATTTGCCATGAATTAAAATAATGTTTTGTGTAACTTCAATAATTTTCTCTTATGGCTGACATGAGACAGATTTAGTAATATAAGCAATTATTAAACATTTTGGCAGTTATTTCTTCAAATATTTTTTCTGTTCCCTCTACTCTCCATCTGCAACTTCAACTACAGGTTTGTCAGACTGCTTGATATTGTCTGACAAGTCACTGAGGCTGTTTATTCTTCTTTGTCATTTCTCTCTCTCTGCTTCATTTTGTATAGTTTCTATTGCATTGACCTAAGCCTGTGGACTTTCCTTCTGCACTGCTAGCACTAATGGTCTGTTAATCCCACCCCAAGAAAATTTCATTTCCGATATTTAGAAGTTCCATCTTTTTTTTTTTAAAGAGTTATTTATTTATTTGAAAGGCAGAGATAGAGAAGCAGAGGCAGAAAGAGGGAAATGTTCCCGTCCGTTGGTTCACTCCTCAAATGGCTGGAGCTTGGCCAATCTGAAGCCAGGAGCTTCTTCTGGGTCTCCAACATGGGTGCAGGAGTCCCAGGACTTGGCCCATCTCCTACTGCTGGATGGGAAGTGGAGCAGCTGGGCCTCAGACCAGTGCTCATATGCTATGCCGGCACTGCAGGCAGTGGGCCCAGGTGCAGTTTCATAGACTTTATTTCTCTTCTCATTATTTTCATGTTATCCTTTATCAGGGGTAGGGGCTCTTTTTTTCTGATGATCCATTTGCATATTCATAGGCCCCACAAAATTATTAACTTAAAGATTAGCTTGCTATATATTTATTGAATTTTGAGTCCCACCTGTGGTTGCTTTGACAGGGACAGAACACATGATTTCGCAGGCTTTACGTGGCCTGCGGGCTGTGCATTCCCTGAGTCCTTGAGTATATTTATTAACAGCGGCCTTAACCACCTTATTTGCTAATTCTATCATCTCCTGTCACTCCCAGTTGTGCTCCTATGGATTGATTTTTCTCCTGGTTATGGATCACATTTTACTGCTCCTATCAAGTCTAGTACTTTTATACTGGATGCTGCATTTTGTTGTATTGCTTTGAAGACTGGATTTTTCTGACAGTTAAGTTTCTGGCCGATGAATTTTTAAGTTCTGTTAGGGCAGATCTAGAGTAGCCTTCATTTTGGGGCTAGTTTTTCTCAATTATTAAGGCATGATCCTTCTGAATCTACTGAATGCCTTGTGTACCCAACCAACTATTCCTGTTCTGGCTGGTAGGAAGCTGAATGACTGCCAGCCCCACAATGAGTTCAAGTAATTATTTGACTATGAACTTATAATTGTTTTTTTCTCCAGCAATGGTTCTTTGATTGGCCTTGTGGAATGTCAGCTTTAGCATGTCTAGACTGGTTTTTAGTCACACAAATATCAGGAGTCCCTTCTCTTCAGGGCTCCCTCCTCTCTGCCATCCTGTCTGCCTAGCAAATTCTAATCACCTTGGCCTCCCCAAAGTCTGGTCTCTGTCTTAACTCAGCGAAACTACCGGGCTATATTTGGGTCCCCTCTCTTTGTAACACACCCTGAAAAACTACCTCCTGGCATAAAGCTAGAATAATGGAGTTTGTTTGCTTCTCAGAAATCACACTCTTGTGCTAGCTACTGCTCAGTATCTGAAAACAGTTATTATCTAATTTTTTTCATCCAGTTTTCTAGTCCTTTACAGTGAGAGAGTAATTCCAGACTCTGTTACCGCCTCATGGCCCAAAGAGGTCCCCTAAAATCATAATGAAAGATTCAGTGTAAATGCTCTGGCCCAGAATGTTAAGTCCTGTTAACCCTGTATATAGAATACCAACTGCTTAAAATACTGAATACAATCCACGTTCAAAGTTACTATCCACCAGGAGGAGACAATGCTTGGATGTGGTTGGCAAATGTTCAGGATGGTTACAATCACCAATATATCCCCTGCCTTATACGTAAAAGTCCCAGTGTGAATAACATATAGAACGCTGTTAACATTCCAGAAAGTTCCCTTTTAGCCTTTCCAAGATCAGTTCTCAGCTCCACCATCAGAAGCAACCAGTGATTTGAATTTGGTCTGCCTATTCTAGACTTTCATAAAAATGGCAGGTAATTTTTAGTGACCAGTTTATTCCATGTAGCATTAATATGACTGAATGTGGCAGTAGTTTATTTCCCTTTCTTGCTGAGTCCCAGTGTTCATTTGTTGTTTCTGAATTTTAATTAATTTATCTGGGGGGCCAGGGAGGGAAGGAGGGAACAGATAGAGTTGCCACCTGCTGGCTTATTCCCTAGCAACAGTCAGGATGGGCCACGCTTCTAGGGCAGGAGCTGGGGAATCCAATCCAGTTCTCACACATGGGTGGCAGGGACGAAATTCCTTGAGCCAACCAACACCTGCTGCTTCCTAAGCTGCATATTAGCAGGAAGCTGGACTCAGGAGCAGAGGCAGCACTCAATCCAGGCCTTCTGATATGGGATGCAGGCGGCCCCAGTGGCATCTTAACCACTAGGCCAGATGTTCAGTTCTCATTCCCCTTTTGACAGCCACGTGGTGTTTCCACACATGGTATGAACAGTCCTGTACAAGGCTCTTGGTTAATGTGTATTTTCATTGCTCCTGGATAAACGTCCAGGAGTAGAACTGCTAGATCCTAGGATTTCTCTATGCTACCTTTGATACTTGAGATTGAGAAACAGAAGGTGAACTGAGTGTGAGCTGTGGGACGGCTGAGAAAACATCTGCTTGGTGTCACTGCCGTAGCCCTAGCATCTAGAACAATGTCTGGCATAAAGAAGGGGCTCAGTAGATATTTGCTGAATAAATAAAAGAGAGCAACATCAAAAAGTAAAAAAATGACTTACACCTAATATAAGACCATGTAGTCTCTTCCAATTCTGCTGTCTTTGCAGACAATTTTATATATTCAATTTCATCATGATCATTTTTTCTTTAACAGTATTGATCTTGTATCAGAATCTTATTTGCCAAGCCCCACTCTTTTCTCCTAATATAAAAAAAGATTTATCAATTTTTTATGAAATCTTCCTTTTCCAACCTTACTAACAGTTTTACAAAATACTTTGTTTTGCTTTTCTTCTGTTCTATTCTCTTTCTTTGTTCTCTGAACATTTACTGAACTAAGTAACTTACAGTATCATATTTTTTGGTCTAGTTCTCAATTTTATACTTATTATTATGGCTATACTCATTTCATAATATGTATTCACTTGTCTTTAAACTTTGTATATCTTTGATTTACAATCTCTTCACTAGTAAAAATGAGGTCATAGGTATTTATATATTAGACTTCTATTTATAACAATTTTGTTATTTTAACACCAATCATTTTCTTAAAACAGCAACCACTGTACAAGCATACATATAGAATGATAAATATTAGTGAATTTACAGAGTCATTACTAATGTTTTCAAGGTGGCCTTTCTAAAACAAAGAATACAAAATTATTTTTAAAATTTTAAGATTTTCTACAAATCATTACATTCCCCATTTCTTGGATTAATTCCATAGTGCTGTTTATATTAGATACTGTTAAAGTTATCAAGATATGTATTTACCAATCATGTCACAATCTGTGAGATATAACTTTTTAATTCCTCTAGCTGCAGAAGGGAGGGTTAATTGATAAAAAGGTATGAGTATTATTTCAAAATCTAAATGGGAGCCAGGTCATGTATTATTATTATTATTATTATTATTTTTTTTTTTTGACAGGCAGAGTGGACAGTGAGAGAGAGAGAGAGAGAGAAAGAAAGGTCTTCCTTTGCCGTTGGTTCACCCTCCAATGGTCACCGCGGCCGGCGCGCTGCGGCAGATGGCAGGAGCCAGGTACTTATCCTGGTCTCCCATGAGGTGCAGGGCCCAAGGACTTGGGCCATCCTCCACTGCACTCCCTGGCCACAGCAGAGAGCTGGCCTGGAAGAGGGGTAAACGGGACAGAATCTGGCACCCCGGCCAGGACTAGAACGCGGTGTGCCGGCGCCGCAAGGCGGAGGATTAGCCTAGTGAGCCCCGGCGCCGGCCCAGTCATGTATTATTTACTGCTTTAGGAATATGTCAAATAATCATATCATAATTTATATCTAAAAAAAAAAAACAAAAAACAAAATACAAACCATTTTTGGTTAGTGCCGCCCATGATTCAGCATGAATGGATCAAGTATTATGTAATATGTTACATACTTACTGGGATGTAACGTTGGGACATGCTGTCCAAGTCTATCATCTTTTAGCATGTGTAGCAATGTTGTTTTTCCCGCATTATCCAATCCAAGAAATACCAATTTACCAGTTTTCTTATATAATCCTGTAGAGTAAAAGCTATGATTGGTCAAAGTAAATCTTACACAGATTATTCAAATGACTTTAAATTTGACCCAAATTAGCTTAATTTCTAAATTGTTTTTTTCCTCCCTCCCTCCCTTTTATTTTTCTTTTCTTTTCTTTTTTTTTCTTTTCTTTTCTTTTCTTCTCTCTCTTTCTTAGATGTATTTATTTGAAAGGCAGTGTTAGAGAGAGCTATCTTCCATCTGCTGGTTCACCCCTCAAATGACCTGAACAGCTAGGGCTGGGCCAGGCGAAGCCAGGAGCTTCATCTGAGTCTCCCACATGGGTACAGGGGCCCAAGCACTTGGGCCATCCTCTGCAGCTTTCCCAGGAGCATCGGCAGGGAGCTGGAAGCAGCTGGGACTTGAACCGGCGCCCATGTGTGATCCCAATGTCACTCACTACACCACAATGCCGGCCCCGCCTATTTTAATTTTCTAAAGATCTATTCTTAATTTGTTCACTAGTTAGGACTTCAAATAATTATAAAACTAACTGTTAAGAGATTATTTAGTTAATAGATTACCTATGTTACCAAAATATTTATGTTGCTAAAACATTAATTACCATGACAATGTAGGGGTGCATATCCGTGTGCTTTACTAGGAAAACATACATGAAATACTTGGCACCATGTATTTATGAAGCTAGAGATTTTTCATGGATGAAAACAAGTTAAGCATTTTTGTCAATAAAAACCATGACAGTTTTTGGCCGGCACCGCGGCTCACTAGGCTAATCCTCCGCCTTGCAGCGCTGGCACACCGGGTTCTAGTCCCGGTCAGGGCGCCGGATTCTGTCCCGGTTGCCCCTCTTCCAGGCCAGCTCTCAGCTATGGCCAGGGAGTGCAGTGGAGGATGGCCCAAGTCCTTGGGCCCTGCACCCCATGGGAGACCAGGATAAGTACCTGGCTCCTGCCTTTGGATCAGCGTGGTGCGCCGGCTGCAGTGTGCAGGCCGCGGCGGCCATTGGAGGGTGAACCAACAGCAAAGGAAGACCTTTCTCTCTCTCTCTCTCTGTCTCTCTCACTGTCCACTCTGCCTGTCAAAAAAAAAAAAGACACTTTTTATGTCAAAAAATTAAGTAGTTCATTGTCAAATTTCCCTGTGAATAAGTTTAAACTATTTATCATAGGATACATAAAACTCTACAACAACTACCAAAAGAAGCATATAATTTTAGACTTATCAACCAGATATTCATTAACTGAAATACAGAAAAATGCAGCTTGACCAGATTATAATAGAATGATATTTTATTGCTAAATTTTCTCCTGAACTTTATGTGTTCAGTTGTCTAATGTCCACATTATTTCACAGGACAGGAGACCTGTCTTGACTCACAGTAGGTCAAAAAATACTTACTTGGGCCTGGTGCTGTGGCACAGTGGATTAAAGCCCTGGCCTGCAGCACTGGCATTCTATATGGGTGCTGGTTAACATCCCGGCTGCTCCACTTCCAATCTGGCTCTCTGCAAATATGCTTGGAAAGCATCAGAGGATGGCTCAAGTGCTTGGGCCCCTGAACCCATGTGGGAGACATGGAAGAAGCTCCTGGTTCCTTGCTTCAGTCATTGTGGCCATTTGGGGGAGTGAAACAGCTGATGGAAGACCTCTTTGTCTGTCTCTAACTCTCTCTCTGGAACTCTGCCTTTCAAATAAATAAAATTAATAAAATAAAATTTTGAGCCAGTGCTGTGGTGTAGTGGGTAAAACTGCCACCTGCAGTGCCAGCATCCCATATGGGTGCTGGTTCGAATCCTGGCTCCTCCACTTCTGATCCAGCTCTCTGCTAATGCACCTGGCAAAGCAGCAGAAGATAGCCCACGAGCTTGGGCCCCTGCCACCGATGTGGGAGACTGAGAGGAAGCTACTGGCTCCTAGCTTCAGCCTGGCTTATGCTGTTGTGGCCATTTGGGGAGCGAACCAGTGAACTGAAGATATCTCTCTCTCTCTGCCTTTCAGATAAATAAACTAAATCTTTTTAAAAAGATATTAAACAATTATAGTTTCAGGCCATTTATTTCTACTAAATTCATACCAATAACACCTAATGCTTGACTCACACTTAAGTCTAAGAAGTGAATTGTTTGAAGACCTAATTTTTTTTTTTTTAAGACTTTGTTTATAGGAGAGTCAGAGTAACAAAGAGAGAAGGAGAGAAAGACAGCAACATCTTCTATGTGCTGGTTCACTCCCCAAATGGCTGCAACAGCCAGGCTGAGACCAGGCCAAAGCCAAGAGTCAGGAACTCCATCTTCTCCCACATGGTTGGCAGGGACCCAAGTACTTCATCATCTGCTGCCTTCCCAAGCACATTAGCAGGAAGCTGGATCAGAAACGGAGCAGCCAAGACCCAAACCAGTACTTCAGTGTGGCTGCCAGTGTCACAAGCAGCAGTCTACCTCACTGCCCCACAGTGTCAACACTCGTTTTAATGACTTTTTAATTGTTTTGAGAGGAGACAAATCTCCTGTCTGTTGATTCACTCCTCAAATGTCTGTCCCCGAATGTCTACAACGCTGAAGCAAGTCTGAAGCCAAAGTCGGGAACTGGAAATCCAATCCAGATCTCACCTTTCAGAAAAATATATACAATGATGTGAGGTATTTCATTTTAAAAAAAGAAAGCAATCAACATTGGTTTTTAAAAACTTACAAGGGCCAGTGTTGTGGCACAGTGAACAGAGCTGCTGTCAACAATGCTGTATCCCACATTGGGGTGTTGGTTTGAATCCTGGCTGCTCTGCTTCCAATTCAGCTCACTGCTGATGTGCCTGGGAAGGCAGCGGAAGATGACCCAAATACTTAGGTCCCTGCCACCCATGTGGGAGACCTGTATGGAGCTCTGTGTCCCTGGTTTTGCCTGGACCAGCCTTGGCTGTTGTGGCCATCTGGAGAGAAAACTAGTAGATTAAAGATCTTTTTCTCTTTCTCCCTCCATCTCTCTTTCTGCCTTTCAAATAAACACATCTTTTTTTCAAGATTTATTTTATTTATTTGAAAGTAGCATTACACAGAGAGAAAGAGAGAGAGAGAGAGAGAGAGAGAGAGATACTGATCGGTCTATCTTCCAGCTACTGGTTCACTCCCCAGATGGCTCCAATGACCAGGGCTGGCCCAGGCTGAAGCCAGGAGCCAGGAGCTTCTTTTGGGTTTCCCCTGTGGGTACAGGGGCCCAAGCAGTTGGGTCATCTTCTGCTGCTTTCCCAGGCACATCAGCAGAGAGGTGGACTGGGAGTGGAGCAGCTGGGAATAGAACCAGCATCCATATAGGATGCTGGTGCTGCAGGTGGTGTCTTAACTACTATGCCACAATGCTGGCCTGCATAAATAAATCTTTAAAGAAAAACTTAAAAAATAAAAATTTTCTTTTTTTTCTTTTTTTTGGACAGGCAGAGTGGACAGTGAGAGAGAGACACAGAGAGAAAGGTCTTCCATTACCGTTGGTTCACCCCACAATGGCTGCCGCGGCCAGCGCACTTCGGCCTGCATACCGCGCTGATCCAAACGCAGGAGCCAGGTACTTATCCTGATCTCCCCTGTCTCTCTCTCTCACTGTCTGTAACTCTACCTGTCAAATCAAAAAAAAAAAAAAAAAAAAGATTTATCTATTCACTTGAAAGAGTTACAGAGAGAGAGAAGGAGAGGTGGAGAGAGAGAGAGAGAGAGAGAGAGGTCTTCCATCCACTGGTTCACTCCCCAGATGGTCACAATGGCTGGAGCTGTGCCAATCCAGGAGCCAGGAGCTTCCTCCAGGGTGCAGAGACCCAAGGACTCGGGCCATCTTCCACTGCTTTCCCAGGCCACAGCAGAGAGCCGGATCAGAAGTGGAGCAGCCGGGACTCGAACTGGTGCCCACATGGGATGCCGGCACTGCAGGCAGTGGCTTTATCCGCTATGCCACATCAACAGCCCCAGCACCTAGTTTGAATTCCTGGCTCAGCCTCATCATTCCAACTTCCTGTGGATGCAAACTCTGGGAGAAAGTGGTGATGATTCCAGAGACTGGGTTCTTGCTACCCACATGGGAGACACAGATTGAATTCCTGGTTCCCAGCTTTGGTATCTTCCACCTCCTCCCAATTCCCACTGCACAGGCAAATGGGAATTCCCCCCTTTTTAAGTTTTTACTATATGAAAATGCTTAAGTTATTTATTTTTCATTTATTTGAAAGAAAGAGAGACAGAGAGAGAAACAGAGCAAGATGTTTGATCCTGTGCTTTACTCCCCAAAGGCCCACAACAGACAGGGCTGGGTAAGGTAGAAGCCAGAAGCTTGGAACTTGCTCCAAGTCTCCTCCATGGGTGGCAGGGATCCAAGCAGCTGAGCCATCATCTTCTGCCTCCCAAGGTGCACATTAGTAGGAAGCTGAATCTTAAGTGGAGTAGCCAGAACACAAACCAGGCACTATGATGTGGGATGTGGGAATCCCAAGTGGCATTTTAACCACTGTGCCAAATGCCTGCCCCGTTGCCTATCTTGCTGTCTGACTCTCAAATAAATAAGTTAATGAAACAAAATCTTAAACAACAGAGGAAAGTCACTGGTTAGAACTATTGAATAAATAATGCTTATTATAAATGATCATTTATGATGCACAATGCACTTCTGGAATATTTTTTTCCCAATCATTTGAAAGATGAGGGTGGGGAAGTAGAGAGAAGACAGAAAGCTCCTGTTTGCTGGTTCACTCCCCACATGCCTGCAGTGGCTAGGCCAAGCTGTGCCTGAAGCCAAGAACTCAATGCAGGTCTCCCATGTGACAAGAATCCAATTACTTGGGTCATTACCACTGTCTCCAAGGGTTTCCATTAGCAGAAAACTACAGTTAGGAGCTAGAGCTAGGAAATGAACTCAGATATCCCAATGCGGAATGTGGGCATCTTGATCGCCAGGCCAAGGCCTGCTCCCTGGAACATGCATTAAATAAGATAATTCATTAAAGTATGCACATACATTAATAAATGGTAGGTATTTT